ATATCCCTCCTACCCTGGGATTCAGCATCTCAGTGTTGTTCATCCATACTCCTCCTACCCCGGGGTGTGCAAAAAAAAAAACCAACCTCACAGTAATGTTCTTCATCTGTAGCAGTGGTGGGTCAGATAAATTGTCCGGTAGTCCGTCAAAGATTTCCACACAGTCTTGTAACAGCTTTACTATTCAGGCACTACATTGCTGCTGAGCTCATGAGACACTGCACAAGACATCATAACAGGTCAAGTCAGTCACAAAAATCAAACAGCGGAATTATTTGGATATTTTAGTGTTCTGAGTCTCCAGCCAAGTATAACAGAATCTCCAACCTTACAGTAGCTGCAAATCATCTACTTCCATCCATTAGCCAACAACTGTAATTGCATTTAATACAAAAAATTCTAATCTACATTCAGTACGGCTCTGTGGCTTAGAGGTTAGTACAAATCCAGGGCTTTTTATTTCTGATGGTATGCAACAGTTCACAGTACAATAACATTTTGTTTTTAGGTGAATTTTTTTAGTTCTATTTAATTGACACTTTGTGGTCTAGTACTTGCACCTTTTTTTAGACACTTTGCAGTCAGTTTGGTTGTGGTCTAGTACTTGCACCTTTTTTTTTAGACACTTTGCAGTCAGTATTGGTTGTGGTCTAGTACTTGCATCTTTTTTTAGACACTTTGCAGTCAGTATTGGTTGTGGTCTAGTACTTGCACCTTTTTTTTTAGACACTTTGCAGTCAGTATTGGTTGTGGTCTAGTACTTGCAGTCAGTATTGGTTGTGGTCTAGTACTTGCACCTTTTTTTAGACACTTTGCAGTCAGTATTGGTTGTGGTCTAGTACTTTTTTTTTTAGACACTTTGCAGTCAGTATTGGTTGTGGTCTAGTACTTGCACCTTTTTTTTTAGACACTTTGCAGTCAGTTTGGTTGTGGTCTAGTACTTGCACCTTTTTTTAGACACTTTGCAGTCAGTATTGGTTGTGGTCTAGTACTTGCATCTTTTTTTAGACACTTTGCAGTCAGTATTGGTTGTGGTCTAGTACTTGCACCTTTTTTTAGACACTTTGCAGTCAGTATTGGTTGTGGTCTAGTACTTGCACCTTTTTTTAGACACTTTGCAGTCAGTATTGATTGTGGTCTAGTACTTGCACCTTTTTTAGACACTTTGCAGTCAGTATTGGTTGTGGTCTAGTACTTGCTCCTTTTTTTAGACACTTTGCAGTCAGTATTGGTACCAATTGGCTAACCAAAACAAAAAACAAAAAAAGGCCATGGTTAAATCGTTTCACAATCTTTCTTTGACGTTTAAATTTCTATGGTTTAGAAAACAAGCATTCTTGTGGCTTTTTGCAGTAGTGTAAATGTTTCACCACATAAAACAGAGTGGGAAATCTACATTTAATTTTCTTAAAAATAGAAGTGGGTACATTGCAGGTAACCTACACTCTGGCGATGGCAAATTAAAACAAAATCTACACTTGTTTCTGTTTTTGTTGTCAGCCAGCCCCTGTTTATTGGTGTCTATTCTTGTGCTCTGTTATCAGACACGCTACACACAGCCCCATAAAAAATCTCACACATAATATAGATATATTCACATATGTGAAAACAAATAATTATGGAATACCATAAAATCAAAAGTGCTTTCCTGGTCTCAATATATTTACAGCAAATATACTACATAACATATACAATACTCACACAAAAGCCATGTCTGCAGATGTTGTTGTGGCATTTTTTTTTTTTTTTCATTGATGCTGTTCCCTTTTAGTCAGCAAACGATACAAAAACATCAATAAGTATGCACATATGTAAAGAAACATACAAGGTGGCTTCAAATGAAAACGTTACAAGTGTGACAGAAATTACAATAACCTTGCCATTGTCTTGTACCTGTCAGTACTGTTGATAGTGTACAGTTTTCTGGGATGATACATGTAGGAAGCTGAGTGTACAGTTTTCTGAGACTATACATGTGTGAAGCTGAGTGTACAGTTTTTTTGAGATGATACATGTGTGAAGCTAAGTGTACAGTTTTCTGAGATAATACATGTGTGAAGCTAAGTGTACAGTTTTCTGAGATGATACATGTGTGAAGCTGAGTGTACAGTTTTCTGAGATGATACATGTGTGAAGCTGAGTGTAGAGTTTTCTGAGATAATACATGTGTGAAGCTGTGTGTACATTTTTCTGAGATGATACATGTGTGAAGCTGAGTGTACAGTTTTCTGAGATGATACATGTGTGAAGCTGAGTGTACAGTTTTCTGAGATAATACATGTGTGAAGCTGTGTGTACAGTTTTCTGAGACTATACATGTGTGAAGCTGTGTGTACAGTTTTCTGAGACTATACATGTGTGAAGCTGTGTGTACAGTTTTCTGAGACTATACATGTGTGAAGCTGTGTGTACAGTTTTCTGAGATGATACATGTGTGAAGCTGAGTGTACAGTTTTCTGAGACTATACATGTGTGAAGCTGTGTGTACAGTTTTCTGAGATGATACATGTGTGAAGCTGTGTGTACAGTTTTCTGAGATGTGCCTGAAGCTGAGTGTACAGTTTTCTGAGACTATACATGTGTAAGGCTGTGTGTACAGTTTTCTGAGATGATACATGTGTGAAGCTGTGTGTACAGTTTTCTGAGATGATACATGTGTGAAGCTGTGTGTACAGTTTTCTGAGATGATACATGTGTGAAGCTGAGTGTACAGTTTTCTGAGACGATACATGTGTGAAGCTGAGTGTACAGTTTTCTGAGATGATACATGTGTGAAGCTGTGTGTACAGTTTTCTGGGATGATACATGCGTGAAGCTGTGTGTACAGTTTTCTGAGATGATACATGTGTGAAGCTGAGTGTACAGTTTTCTGAGATGATACATGTGTGAAGCTGAGTGTAGTTTTCTGAGATGATACATGTGTGAAGCTGTGTGTACAGTTGTCTGAGATGATACTGAAGCTGAGTGTACAGTTTTCTGAGATGATACATGTGTGAAGCTGTGTGTACAGTTGTCTGAAGCTAAGTGTACAGTTGTCTGAGATGATACATGTGTGAAGCTGTGTGTACAGTTGTCTGAGATGATACCTGAAGCTGTGTGTACAGTTTTCTGAGATGACTGTGAATGAAACAGTGTGTACTGGGGAATACACAGAGATGAGTGTAAGCAAAAATGTATGAAGTGTCTGCAGACTGATCTGACAAGATGTTCTCACCAATCAACATGTAAATAAGGAGACTAATTTTATTACAGCCAAGACAGAAAAACCATCCATGAAGTAAAACATGTCATTCAAACAAGCAATATTCATATGTGAACTGAGAAAACTGTAACACTGACCATTCAGCAGGTAGATAACCTGCCATTTGGTTTAGCTAATGAGAAGTGTCCATTTTTTTTTTTGGGGGGGGGGGGGGGCATAATAAAATCAGCCTTTCTATTTAATGGTGTATGTAAGAAAATATTTATGCAGATTACAGATATACTAGCTTATCAAGGATTATATGCATACTTACACAGACACAAAGGCAATGACATGAATCTAGCAATCACACATCAGTAGTGTACCCATGAGTCTCTGATATCAACAACATAATATTGCACAAATAATGTTTCTGAATTCTGGCAAAATTTGAAACGGTACTTCAGTGGTGCTTCAAATGACATGACATGTGATGATGTGAATATTTGATTCTCCAGCAATGTGGTGACATTTGAAATGATATTTGCTACTCCGGCACTGCAGCAATCCTTGGTGACTTGCCGCAATATTCTAGTCACATCTGACTCAACATGATATATATAGAGAGGATTTGACATCTGCTTCCCCAATCTTAATCTTATTCTTATCCTCCTTCATGAGGCTCTTTGATACTGTCTTCGTAATTATTCCTCTGCATCACTTCTCTTTCTCATCCTTATCTGTATTAGTTCTTTCTCTCTCCTTTCTTTTTTCCATTACCTCTCTCTCTTTAATTTGTAGTTTCACTTATTCTCTCCTCTCTTACCTTTCCTCACACCTTCTCTATCAAATCCATCACTCACTATTACACATTCCTTCCATTTTAGTAATTCTCTCTCTCTCTCTCTCTCTGTCTCTCTCTCTTCTGTCTCTCTCTCTCTCTCTCTCTCTCTCTTTCTCTTTCTTTCTCTCTCTCTCTACTGTCTCTTATATTTTCTTTACCCAGTCCATAAATATCAAGTGCTTTCCCACATATTCCATCCCTGGACTTTACCTGATACCCATAAGGCTGGGTGGATTAGGGAACCAAGGTCTTGTATGAAAAGAAAAATCCAGCCCTATGTGGATCTAAACCCACGGCGCTTGTCAACTGGTTTATGTAGAAAACAGCAGTCCACAACAGCCTTTCCAATAATTGTTAGAACACTGATTTGTATGCAGCAGAGAAACTGCATCTCTGAGCTCATCAACTGTGAGTTTAACTTCATATCACAATTTTGTAAAGAGAAACTGTTTAAATACATAATGTGTTTATATCCACGCTTGTCTCTCAGTGTTGAACTGCGGGGCACATCTGTACAAACAACTATATAACATGATGGATGTGGCACTGACAATGTGGGAATCACTGCACAATATATACAGCCATGTTCATCTGAATTACCACTTCACTGCACATACATGACACCTGTACCACCACTGGCTCCAGCTGATGGGCCGTGCTGTTGACGTCACCGGGTCGGGCTAATGATGCGTTAACGCAGCGGTTCTCAAACAAGAAATAAACTATTCTCGACAGTGGCGAGAGGAAAGACAACTTATGTTTAACTTTTAAGTATCTACATGCCTTCTTTAATGATTTCAAAATTTTCAGCCGACTTTTCTTGATTACTGCCATGGCACCCCAGGATGCCTCGGCACCCAGTTTGAGAACCACTGTGTTAACAAATCGTTAGCCCGACCCAGTGACATCAGCAGCATGGCGTGTCAGCTGGAGTTGGTGGTGCCTGTACACTGGAGGATATGAAGCTGCCGCAGTTTAGATGTATCTACCCAGGGCCATGTAGAAGTTCTGCAGGTAGGTCAGGAGCTGTGAAAACTTGGGCCTCTCATCTGGGGTCAAGGCCCAACAGCAGGCCATCAGGGAGAACCTGCACACAGATCACATGATGTTAACTCTTAACACAAGCCCTTACAAGTTAGAGTCTTTTGGATATTTTTTTCAGGTCATGGCGGAGTGTTGGGAAATCAGCAGGCAGATAGACTGGCCAGTTCTGCACCACTTGGTGGTGAAATTATGTAAGACAAGCTATATATTGTGAGGGCCCTTTGGGAACGAGTGAACAGTGAGGATGCGCAAATAGATCATTACGGTCTGAGGAGAATGGCTCTCCTCGGGTCTGAGGAGAATGACACTGCGAGGAGTTACCAAGGGATGTAGCCGACGCTAAACACTCAGGGGAAGCATTCGACGGATATACAATCAGACGGCTACTGGTGCCATTGGAATTCGAATTCTTTGCTTGCTGCTGAAGCTGGGGATGGAGCCCTTATGGGAGTGTCCCGAGTGTCTTTCTGCACCAAGAAACATAACCTTAGTGGCACAAGATTAAGTGTGCTTGCTTCGCAGTACAATAGCCACATGCTCAATTCCTTTTCAAGACTCACTAGATGGCCTAGCTCCAAACTAACAGTGAGAGTTAACCCAAAAACTGATATACAGAAGAATGAAAAAAAGGAGTCTTGACAGAAATTAACAAGAGACAATTAGAGCACACAAAGTACCCACATAAAAAAAAAAACAGGGAAGAACCCTTTTCCCCAGGCGTATTGGGCATATAGGGTTAGACTTATATTTTGTAGACCGATGGACATTTGGTGGGTGATGTAGTCAGCATCACGCCAGCTGCCTTTATTTACTTCCCAGGTCTTGACCTGATAACCACTCAAGGCTGGCTAGACCTGAGAACTAAGGTCATTTTTTTTTAAACGAGAAAATAGGTCGGGCTCCATCAAGACCTAAACCCATGACCTTCTAACCCGCAGGAGAGCATCTAGCTGCTACACCAGGGCTAGTCAACTGGCGGCCCGTGGGCCAAATCTGGCCCGCGGAGGCCTAGCAAGTGGCTCACGGATCATTGCCAGTTGTTTTGTATTAATGAATCATTCAATGCTGGAACTCAGGCCTCTGGCCCGCAACGATCACCATTTTCCGAATTGTGACCCCTGAGTAAACTGAGTTGAAAAGCTCTGTGCTACACATGGCAGCTCCATATTAGCGCTTGTAGTCAACAAAATGGAAAAATTGTTTTGCAATTTTTCTTTGTCAACTGAGACAAGAAAAAGAATTCTTAAAAGCTATATAAATCTATCTTGATATGTGGAAGTGAATCATGGACAGTGGGTAGACTAGTGAACGATTATCTGGAAGCTGCAGAGATGAGATTTTATAGACAAATGATGAGAATACTCTAGACAGATAAAAAGAGCAATGAAGATGTTTGGAAAGAAAACTGATTGCCTAAATCAGAAAGAGACAATTAACTTTCTTCGGTCATGTGATGAGAAGGAGAAAAGTGGAGTACATCGTGACAGTAGGAAAGTTGGAGGGGAGAAGGGTAGACAGAAAGAAAAGATGTAGACAGTCTGATATCATGGCATGGAGGATCGTCTGTATCAGAGCTGATTGAAAAGTACATGGGACAGAAGGTTGGGGATATGGACATGACTACCAACGCCACACGGCCTGGACTTTGAGAAGAAGAATCGACCATAAAAAACCTGGCAGTGTTCTACAGTCTCTCAAAAAACACAGTTTACTTGAAACAAAGAAAGACACTTTCAGATCATTTATGACAAAACAGACATATTTAAACATCATCTGAGACAAAGAAAGCTATTCAGTTCATCTGAGACAAAGAAAGCTACACAGTTCATCTGAGACAAAGAGACACACATACTGTTAATCTGAGGCATAGAAAGACACACAGCTGATCTGAGACACAGAAAGACATACATTTGATCTGAGACACAGAAAAACACACAGCTGATCTGAAATACAGAAAAACACACCGCTGATCTGAGACACAGAAAGACACACAGCTGATCTGAGGCACAGAAAGACACACAGCCGATCTGAAACAAAGAAAGGCATACAGTTGATGTGAGACAAAGAAAGGCATACAGTTGATGTGAGACACAGAAAGGCATACAGTTGTTGTGAGACACAAAAAGGCATACAGTTGATCTGAGACACAGAAAGGCATACAGTTGATGTGAGACACAGAAAGGCATACAGTTGTTGTGAGACACAAAAAGGCATACAGTTGATCTGAGACACAAAAAGGCATACAGTTGATCTGAAACAAAGAAAGGCATACAGTTGATGTGAGACACAGAAAGGCATACAGTTGATGTGAGACACAGAAAACATACAGTTGATCTGAGACACAGAAAGGCATACAGTTGATTTGAGATACAGAAAGGCATACAGTTGATGTGAGACACAGAAAACATACAGTTGATCTGAGACACAGAAAGACACAGAGCTGATCTGAGACAGAAAGATATACTTACAGTAGATCTGAGACATATAAAAACACACAGTTAATCTCAGATGCAAAATGATGAATTTATAGCTGATCTGAGACACAGAAAGATACAGTTAACCGGAGGGAGACAAGTAACAGTTCATCTAAAGCAAAGAAAAACATATTTACAGTTGACCTGAAGCAAAGAAAGACACACAATTCATCTGTAGCACAAAAAAAAGATACATTTACAGTTCATCTGAAGCCAAAAAAGACACACAGTTCACCTGAAGCAAAGAAAGACACACTTTTATCTGAAGCAAAGAAAGACACACTTTTATCTGAAGCAAAGAAAGACACACTTTTATCTGAAGCAAAGAAAGACACACTTTTATCTGAAGCAAAGAAAGACACACTTTTATCTGAAGCAAAGAAAGACACACTTTTATCTGAAGCAAAGAAAGACACACTTACAGTTCATCTGAAGCAAAGAAAGACACACTTTTATCTGAAGCAAAGAAAGACACACTTACAGTTCATCTGAAGCAAAGAAAGACACACTTTTATCTGAAGCAAAGAAAGACACACTTACAGTTCATCTGAAGCAAAGAAAGACACACTTTTATCTGAAGCAAAGAAAGACACACTTTTATCTGAAGCAAAGAAAGACACACTTTTATCTGAAGCAAAGAAAGACACACTTTTATCTGAAGCAAAGAAAGACACACTTTTTATCTGAAGCAAAGAAAGACACACTTACAGTTCATCTGAATCAAAAAAAGACACACTTATAGTTCATCTAAAGCTAAGAAACACACACTTACAGTTCATCAGGACAGCTGTGTGGTTTTGCTATCCTGTAGCCTTCCTGTAAGTATGTGGCCATCTCAAATGGATCAACTTCAGCGTATGGCTGCTGTCCCAGTGTCATCATTTCCCACAGAGTGACACCATATGCCCACTGCAAACAGTTTGACATATTGTAAACACATTGTAAGTTGTGTATGTTAGACTACATATACATAGTAATCATGGCTGGGGACCTCCATGGTGCAATGGTACAGTATTTTACCTCGCACAGAGCACAAGATCTCCACAACTTAGGACCAAATTATGCTCCCACAAAGAGCAGAAGGAAGTAATTTAAATAACAATATCCTGTTCAACCCATCCGGGTAATAATTCGGAAATATAGAGTATTATTTAAATATTTCAATAATGTATATTTATTAGGGCTGTACCGAATAGTGATTTCCACTATTCGGCCGAATACGAATAGCTGGACTGACTATTCGGCCGAATACGAATAGTGAATCATCATCATCAGGTGCTTTGCCGACTGGTATGGACGATTATGCCTCGCCACAATCTGCGATCTCCTGCAGCATGTATTAGTTTGTGTGCTGACACACCTCCATGCCATGCAACAAGACTGTCAAGAATCTTCTCTTCCTCTATCCCTCCTTCCACAGATCTTTCCAGTGGTCACGTTCCATTTTCCCTCATCTTATAACATAGCCGGAAAATGATGACTGTCTCCTTCTGATGTCTGTGAGAAGTTGTCTTCAGGCTCCCGCCTCTATCAACACTTCTTGGTTCCTTTTTTCTTTTTCTTGTCCAGGGTATTTTAAGCATTGTTCTGTAATACCACATCTCTGAGCACCACTCGCCTCGGTTCAATGTTCATTCACTAGTCTTTCTTGTAGTGAGCACTGCCCGACCCAGTTCATTGCTGGTTTACCAACCTCATTGTAGTAAGCACCGCTCGCCCCAGTTCGATGTTCGTTCACTAGTCTTTTTGTAGTGAGCACCGCTCGCCCCAGTTCAATGTTCGTTCAGCAGTCTTCTCGTAGTGAGCAGCGCTCGCCCCAGTTCGATGTTCGTTCACTAGTCTTCCTGTAGTGAGCACTGCTCGACCCAGTTCATTGCTGGTTTACCAGCTTTTTTGTAGTAAGCACCTCTCGCCCCAGTTCGATGTTCGTTCACTAGTATTTTTGTAGTGAGCACCGCTCGCCCCAGTTCAATGTTCGTTCACTATGCAGGATATTTTAAGCATTGTTGTGTAATACCTCATCTCTGAGGTTTCAAGAAATTGTTGGCCTGCCTACCGATTGTCCAGGACTTACAGCCATTTGTTAAAACTGGATGTATGTAGCTAGCAAGAATTATTTTTCTAACCTTCAATGACAAAGATATATTGCATAAGATGTTCTTCATTTTATAAAATGCAGTTTGTGCCTGTCCTATTATGTTTCTTATTTCAGTTATGCATCTTCCATCTGAAGTTTTCCATGTGTCCAGATACTTAAATTTCCTTACTTGTCCCAAAGTAAAACCATTGACTTTTATTAAACATTTAGGAGTAATTATTTTCTTTGATACCACCATTACTCCTGTCTTCCCACTATTCAAACTGAGGCCCATTCTTCCACTTTCGTGTATAAAATAGATCTAAAAAGAAAACATCCATAATGTCAAAAGTACGCTGACATTTTACTTCACAAAATGTAGTACAGAATAGTAAACATTTAAATACATTTCATCTTTTGCATTCTTTAGTCAGTCAGTCTGTGGTAACTAATACATAGGAGTGAAAGTATTCTTAGTTTTATAACAAGTAACTAAACTTGTAAATTGTCACTGACAGCTTAATTAATCCCTGAAAGCGGCATTAGCTTTCCATACCCAAAAAAAAATTGTTCCATGTTGTCAGCAATAAGGCAGCTTTTTGTCTCACTGAAGGCATTTCCAGCTTTACTAAACAGACGTTCACTTGGTACGCTCGTAGGTGGTGCACAGAGATAACGCTGGACAGTATGAACCAAGGTGGGAAATCTTGACATGTTTATTTTCTACCAGTCCATGAACGGGTGTAAGGTAACCACTATTCGTATTCGGCCTGACCGCAACTATTTGGCTGAATACCGAATAGTTATTAGGTCCACTATTCGGCCCCGAAGCGAATGCGAAGTGAATATTCGGTACAGCCCTAATATTTATGTCTACCAATTATGTATGGATATGTAGTGCCGCTTTGCTTATGTATTAATTGTATAAGGTAGAAGTATGGATCGTCACATTCAATATATTTTTAATGTATTTTTAAACAATTATAGTAATTAAACTGTGTAGTCTGTCTTTGTGGATCACCTAAGACCAGCGGAAAACACATATTCATTGAAGTTATGAGCAAAAATAATTGTTTCAGGATCGCCACAACATGAGGGAACTGTATTAAAGGACAGTTAAGAGCCACTGATTTAGACAATTTATTTATTTGGATCTGAAGTTGTTTGTATAGTTTAGGTAGATTTTTTCTGTCTTCCAAAAACAGCATCATCAGCACACAATGACAGTTTATTTTTAAAGTCTGTAAATTCATCTCCAAGATCAGTGATCATGATATTCAACAATTGTGGTGATAATACTGATATTTGGGGAATACCATTTTTTTTTGGTAGCAATTCTGATTGTGCATTATTTAATTTTACTGAGAAAATATTATAATATATAATTATTGTAAACATTTTTAAATGAAGTGATTTTTTTATTCCTAATACACCAATCTTTTTCATTTTGCATTGCTTGTCATTAGTCGAACAGGTCATAAGTTGAATTTATATTAACCAATACTATATTTATTCAACAGTTTTTAAAAATTATACATAAAACATAAAATGCAATCTATGTATGTATAATCAGACCCTGTTGTGCTCTAGGCAACTAAAAATGCAGTTATCTTTTTTTTTTTTTTACTATTTTTATTTACTTTTTTTGTGTGTGTGGTTGTAAGAGCGGACTGTTGTGAGTCGCATAGGTCGCAACCCGAGGACACGGTTAACACAGTACACATTTTTTATACACTACAAATATACGGTTCATATTTTGTCACATACTACAAATACATAGTACATATTTTGTTGTATACTACAAATACATTGTACACATTTTGCTGTATACTATAAATATATGGTAATTTTATATTATCTTTTGCACGTGTTATATGGTATGTATTTTATGAGACAATGTTAGAGAATACGTACAAAACATATGAGATATAAGATAGTGATGATATGTGTAAAGGTCAATGATAGATGTTGACGGCAAAATGATTAAAAGTTAATAGGATTATAGAATCATATTTCTCTTCTGTCTCACTGCAAGATCACAGCAGTGTGGTCTGAAAATCCATAAGGTAAAGATTAAGATAATGGGAATAAATCAGGCAAAAAAAAGATGGTTTCTCTTAATGGTCTCCCACTCCAAGACATGGAGTCCTGCATCTATTTAGGCAATAATGTAGATAAAGATGAGACAAATGAGAGAGTTATTCATAGAGGGGCTTTCATAGGACTAGGAAATTTGTGGGGGTCAAAAGAAATTAAAACTATAACTACACTAAAAAAAAACTAATTCTAATGTTAAATCACTACTGCTGCACAGTGCGGATACATGGATAACAACTAAAGCAATTGACAATAAACTACAAACATTCATTAATCGGTGCCTGAGCAGAAATGGTATTATAGAATTACTAATGTAGAGGTTTGGGAGATAACTAAACAAGTTCCACTCGACCAAAAGGAACAGAAAAGATGCTGGCACTGGATAAGACACACATTGAGAAAACCTGACAATATAACAAGAATTGCCATGGCACTGGGACCCACATGGGCATAGAAATAAAGGAAGACCAAAAAACAAACGGAGAAGGGAGCTAGAAAGTGAAGTTAAAAAGATGGGAGGTCATGGGAAGACCTGCATGCGATAGAATAGGATAGAACGACTTGGCATGAGTTGATTGAAAGCTAATGCTCTATTAGGGGTTAGAAGGCAGAAGAAGAAGAAAAAGATCATAGTTGAAGATAAAGGAGGTTAGTAAAGGTATGATAGAACAGAGATATTGTGACATAAATAACGATAATAATAATACTAAGAAATGTTTCACATACCACATCACTGGCAGGTGAGAACCTCTTGTGCATGATGGCTTCGATGGCCATCCATTTAACAGGTCTGTTCTCATTATCACCCAAACAATTATAGTCTGCTGGAAACAGGTCTCTGGCCAGGGAGTTGTCAGTGACTTTGACTACCAGCTCTGCCCCAACTCTGAAAACATGAATTCATGCTCAGCATCAGTATATTCATGGAAGATTCTGGTGTAAAGGTTTGAGGTAATCTCCGGATAAAAGTTGCCATGAGAGTTTAGGTCTGAACAAAGGATCAACATCATGGTACAAAGGTAGTAACTTATAAGTTATGTTCTAATTCAAGTCTGAGTCTGAAGAATCTCAGCGCAGTGCCTGAACTCTGTAGCACCGGCGAGGATCCTGTTAGGCTACTCTTTTCAATTTCAAACTGCCAAGGAATTTTTTACACGTGCAACAATACACATGGGCATCTGATCTTACTAACCAACGACCAGGGGAAATTACTAAAAGTCCACTTAAAAAAATCCCAGCCTTCACCGGGGACTGAACCCAGGCCTTCTGGCACTCGAGGCAGACGCCATGCTTCGAGTCCACACCTCCCCATGGAGTATGCAATTATCAACCTGTGGATATACTATGGGAGTATGGAGTGATCAGCCCCTGAAAAAAATCGCTATGGTTAAGAAAAATGTCATCAGTAATCAGGCACTCCATCACAGAGAAAATAGAGGGGTGGGGCTACATATTTTCTGCCCCCCACTCCCCCCAAAAAAATGGTGATGGCCCTCAGGCGGCCTAACCCTAGTTTAAGAGCATTATGATGATGATGTGCTGAATGGTAAATAAATATAATACATGTAAAATAATATGAAATGAACTTCCAACACAAAACCATTTCCAGTGGTTCATTAATACTTACACACAATTTCTGGTGGCTATGTCCTTGTGAATGAGTTTTTTCCTGTGTAAATACTGAGTTCCCCTGATGATCTGGATGGCCATGTATACAAGTTGTTGAGTATTTAATGTCTGGAAGAAACAAACGGATTGAACTGTTTTTATACTGCTTAACAACAGATGATATGCATGTTAAACATTAAATTTTTGTGGAATTTAGTGAGTAACTTTTGGCAGCTACTCATTATACATCTGTAGCTTGACATGGTACTAGCTGATAACTATATCAACTTACAATCACAAGGCTATAGAATATGACAACAAGCCATTTTACAATTAAACAATAAGGCAACTAATCAGTATACAACTATACTATCCAAAGTCTAGTCATTATAGTAAAAAAAAGGGCTTTTCCCACACCTTTCAGGCGTATTGGGTATATAAGGCTAGACCTATATTTTATAGACCAACGGCACAAGATGGGTTATGTGGTCAGCATTACGCCAGCTACCTTTACTTCCCATGACTGCACCCAGTACCCACTGAAGGCTGGATTGACCTGGGAGCCAAGGTCATTTTTGAAAAAAAAGTCTGGCTCCACCAGGGAGCGAACCCATAACCTTCCGATCCACAGGCAAGCATCTAGTCGCTATGCACGGTGAATCCCCTTGTCATTATACAACTACCCAATTAGATAACTAATCAACATAACCACGCAACAGACTATCAATCATTATACGATATTTCAACTGGACAAATTATACAAACAATTATTATAAAATTGTACAGTCTAACAACTAGCCATTATATAAATGTACACTCTGACAACAATCATTCAGCTATTAAACGTGGAAGTAAATAATTAGGATTATATACTTTTGAAAAGCTGCTATGGTAAATGTGTCACAAAGTATGCTCTCTAAGTGGAGTTAACCTTCAATTTCCTTTCTTTATAGGTAATTCAGTATTGGCTCTGACTTCTCTGTGATTTAATTCCTGATTTGATCTCTTCTGGTTTTCTTCTTCTTCAAGTTCACTGGCTGTAAACTCTGGCAGAAAATTTGAGCTGTTCAGCCACTTCTGGACCTCAGTATTGTTTCAGAGCTTGAACTGTGCATGCATATCCATTTTAAAAATCTTGCGTATGCAGACTGCTGGTCTCTCATTTCTCAGGCACTCCGACTTTGAAGGAAACACTTGTGTTAGTTGACTTTTTTGACATGCTTGTAAGAGGCAGTGGGTCCATTATTTTTTCCCCCAGTAAGGCCTTGAAACCCACACAAGGAAAGTTGTTCTGGTCATGCTTGCAGCTGTTCTCAGACATGTCATTTCTATCGTTACTAGTCTTCTTTTTTTTGTCTAATGTTAATTTCGGAAATAGCTAGCCAAACTACTAGATACTTTGATAATCATAAGCAAACAAGTAAACGGCTAAGAACATGACTGACAAGTACTTACATATCTAGATCCACATTCAGACATGCGACATTTGAGCAGAAATTTTTTCATGTTGCCCTCCTGCAGGCAAGGGTAGACAACCAGAGGTTGTTCAGGAGTCTCTAGGCATACCCCAAGAAGACTGTGAAGGTTAGGATGGACCAGGCCCTTCAGTTGCACAGACTCGGTTAGAAACACCTGCACCTGGTCAGCTGTGGCTTGACCTGTCAAGATGTCTATAGATTAGCCTTCAACTTTTCATCCCGAAATATCAAGTACTTACTGTGGAAGACTTTTCCAAATTAAGCTTGCAGATCAGTTTCCATCCTCCATGGAGGTGGATGCAATCACTGCAACTCTTTAGTGACTAGAGAACAAGTCGTAATTGTAACAGACTCTGAAAGCATGCTGAAAAGGGTGAAGACAGGGATGCTTCGAGCAGAGTGGCTAGCTTCACTGGAAATATCACGGGTGGTGAGCATACTTTAGATCTTTTCTCCAGGCTATGCCGGCATGGTGGGTAAATGAACAGGCAGACAGATTGGCTGGATTCGCATCACTAGGTGGTGAATTGATACATGATAAGGCAGATGTGTTCAAAGCCCTTTGGGAACACGCAACGGAATCAGTAGAGAAACGACTTCCGGTTTAGAAATGGCAGCGTGAAGACGTGTTTGCGGCGACACTCGATTTTATTCTAAAATTTTCACTTAATCTGTGTTTTTCTCTTGATAACAGAGTGCGATTATTACGAATTCATTGACAATGGATATTCTCTTGTTCGTGGATACAAGTATTATGTGGTTTAGGGGTGTTATAACGGAATTATTTCCACAAAATAGCCACGGCGGCGGCCGTGTCCTAATTCCGATAATGTAACCGCGTAGGAGCCACGCTCCCATTATAAACATGGGAGTCCACGGGTAAGACCCCAGTCTACTCTAGCAAAACAAGGTGCTGAAGTCGGAGGCAACCAGCCAGGAGGCGCACCACAGCAATCAGGATGCCACGCACAAACGCAACAGGGAATATTTCTATATCTGCAAATAAGTTTGATTTCCACCATGCGACCCACTCACGTACACGTGGTTCGATTTACCGGCCTACGACAAGAAGAAAGAGTCCAGCTTCAAATACTCGAAGCCTCCCCCTAATGCCCCGTAGAACCAGAAAAGCAGAAAATACAGCTAGCCTTAAAATAATGCACTGGAACGCGGAGGGAGTAAATACTAAGAAATTAGAATAAGAAAACGTCTTGAACGAAGAGAATAATGTATGCTGCCTACAAGAGACTTATCTCAAACAAGATATGGCCTTTAAGATCAGAGGCTACCAGTGTTTCCGATCTGACCGCAAAAGACAGGAGAAAAAGGTGGAATTCTTACCCTGGTCAAAAATAAACATCCTTGCGGGCCGGATCGAAACATACATGGAAGGTGCTGAGTATCAAAACACTTGAGCTCAGTTTAGAAAAAAAATTAAACCACTCTAGAGCTGGCATACCACCTCGACACCACAAGACCACCTTATCACTCACCAGACATGGAACTGACATGTTACCAGAACTTTTGGGAAGCAACTAGGAGGCAGTGACCACCTGCCATTCTTTTCTAACTATAAAAGCCAGTCTGTAAGAGAGAGCAGCACACTGCCAAGGTGGAATTTTAAGAAGGCAGATCTGAAAGTTGTATCAGCTTCGCACAAATGTTCTGCTGGAAAATCTAAACACAGATAACGACGTAGAAAAAGTAGTCCAAGAGTTGAGCAAAACGCATGCTGCAGGCAGCCCTAGAAGCAGTTTCCAGAGGTGCGCGTAAACAATACAAACCGTACTGAAATTGACGATCTGGAGCAACTGCACAACAATATAGAAACAGAAAGAAAACAAGATGAGACCAGACCTTGTCAAGAGCAGTTTAACAACTACCAACATTTAAAGGCCAAATTTCAAAGAGCCAAACTGCAGGCTAGACGGGCAAGCTGGCAAGAAAAGACAAAGTCTCTAAACTTTTGAAAGAGACACAATGAAGTTGTGGAGGTTAATTAAGCAAAATTAATGATGAGAATACAGGAAGAAATGGTTATATTGCACTATGCAAAGAGGGAGCCATCCTAACAAGAAAACAGGCAGCTGACCACTTTGCAGATTCCTTTGCAGAAGACAGCAACATTAATGTCAGCCCAGAGAAACAGCGAGAGGTTCAAGAAAAACAAAAAACACATATAAGACAAAAAAGATATAATTCCTGAGGCACTGGTGGCAGCATTTACATCCAGCGAGTTAGAGTTAGCAATATCAAAGCTGAGAATGGGAAAATCACCTGGAATTGATGGTATCACCAACGAAATGATCAAGAACCTTGGAACAACTGCCAAAAAAAAAGCTGCTACAGATCTTTAATCATTGTTGGACCAGTGGCAAAGATCCTCAAATTTGGAGAGAAGCAATCACAATACCTCTGCTTAAACCAGGAAAGGACAGTTCTGATGCCTCCAGCTATAGATCGATCAGTCTTACCAGCTGCCTCTGTAAAACAATGGAACGTATCTGTCAACCTTAGACTCCAATGGTACTTGGAAAGTGAAAACATTTTTCACGCCGCAGCAGGCAGGATTTAGACAGTTGCTACTCCACAGAAGACCAAGACAACTTACCTTTCACAAGAAATTGAGGATGCCTTCCAGGAAAAGAAGCTAGTGCTAACGGCATGGATAGATCTGAAGAAAGCCTTTGACAAGGTCTGGAAAGAAGGTCTACTGAAGAAACTGAGAGACTGCAGGGTGAATGGGAGAGTGTACAAATGGGTGAAAAGCATACTTGTATAACAGAAGATCCCCGAGTACAGATAGATGGACTTAAGAGTAAGAAAGTTTTTGCTGCGCCATGGCGTCCCACAAGGAGGTGTTCTGTCCCCCACACTCTTCCTAGTCTATATCAATGACCTGCTTTCTGAACTACCCCATGGAATTAAAGCTGCAATGTATGCTGATGACTTGGTACTCTGGTGTACAAATGAAAATGCGACAGTGGCCACCAGGCTGCTACAAAGAGCCATAGATGCAATGGCTGATTGGGCCAACAAATGGTGTGTCAGCATCAACATAGGCAAATGCAGCACCACCCTCTTTAAAAACAAATTACCCTTTCTCCTAAACAAAAATCAGGTGTCATGCACATAAATGGAGTACCCCTGAGAGAGGATAAGGAGCCCACAATACCTCGGCGTAACGTTTGATGATAGATTAACATGGAGAAAAACACATCAATAAGGCAGCAACCAAAGCCAGAAGAAGGGTAGCCATTTCTGAGAAAAAACTAAGTGGAACCCACATGGGGTGCTAGCGGGAAAATACTTAGAAAAAGTTTACCAACAAAGTGTTCGACCACATCTTGAATACGGATCAAACAGCATGGAGTTTCGGCATCAAAAACCACATTGCAAGAATTAGACAAAGTGCAAAATCAAGCACTCAGAGTTACCACAGGCAGCATGAAATCAACACCTATAGCTGTGATGGAGAAAATGGGGATGGACCCAAGCACTGAGTGAACGCAGAGACACCAAGATGCTTTTACAAGCAGAAAAAGTTTCTTAGTATGCCCAGTCACCCTATGAATGAAAGATTCCAAAATTTAGCTTTTGGGACGACCTAAAGAGAAGTAGTTTTATCCACCAGGCCAAACGGGCTCAGCAGACAAACCACTGATTTACCTGCAACTGATAGATCCTTAAATGCTGTCCCAGAACGGACCCCCTGGAGAGAGGAGTATAAGTTTCCAATACACATCAAGACTGAAGTGAAAGGGGTATTTGACAAGGAAGAACAAAAACAGTGTGCAGCGCAAAACAGCCACCCTCAGTCTACTTGATGATGAATACCCGCAGAACCTTTGGGTCCGTGTTTACACAGATGGGTCAGCAGAAAGCGCAGTCAGAAACGGAGGTGCGCGGAGTGTACATTGAGTATCCTAATAATACCAGGGATACAGCCAAATTACCAACGGGAAAGCACTGTCACAACTATGATGCAGAAGTTCAAGCCATCAAAGATAGCGGTAGAGAAACTACTAAATACAGGGTATTTTTTTCACAACCAGTGGTATTCCTGACAGATGCAAAAGCAGTACTTCAGTCACTCCAGTCTGGGAAATTACCAAGCATACGGACACTATTATCCGAACTAGGCAAACGCTGTAAATTAGTAATGCAGTGGATACCTTCCCACTGTGGAGTTCCCGGAAACGAAAAAGCTGATAAACTAGCTAAGAAAGGTGCAACTGAAGAACAACCTGACATACCAGTCTCTTATCAACAGAAGAAGAGAATGATCAAATCAATCAGAATGCCACCGAAACTGGCACAAGATGATTATCATATTATGGACAGACCAGAGCAAGTCATTATCCTTCGCCTTAGAACAGGGCACAATCGACTTCGCTCCCACATGTACAACAAATTTAAGATTGGCCAATCAGCCATGTGTACTTGTGGACTGGCACCTGAAACAACAGATCACATCCTTCAAGACTGTCACATATTCAACGCTTTCAGGCAAAACCTTTAACCAAAAGAGACACTTGTGGAAGTCAAACTTTACGGGCCGCTTAGTGAATTACAAAAGACAGTGAAATTCATACTAGAGACAGCTTTGCAGATATAGACAATTTATTTCATGCGAACGAAAGAAGAAGAAGAAGTAGAGAAACAAGGTTATTATGGCCTAGAGAGAATGAGGCACCTAGGTGTAACCAGAGGGTTTGGCCGACTCCCTACACTCAGAGGCAAGGCAAGACAGACATATAACCAGATTGTGACCAGTACCATCAGTATTGGATGCTGAGGATGAGGATGGAGCACGCATGGGAATGCCCCAAGTGCTGTGATGTCAATTCTTGACTTAACTTTCCATCTTTATTGGCTGGAATTTCCTTGCCTGCCTGTAGCACAATGGAACACTATCGTCTTAGCAGACAGAAGGTCCAGGTTCCTTTCTAGAAGAAAAAAATAAACTTGACCAGATTTAACATGCCTGCCAACAGTCTCTTGTTATATTTGTGGTCTTGTTTATTTGCACCACTTACATGGCTAAGATCATGGTATGTGTGCCAGCTCTCTGGCTTTATGTCTCTATCCTAATAGCTAGACTGCTCCTTCATGTCTTTGTCCCAATGTGTTTCTTTTGTCCTTGTCTTCAAAATGTTTTTTCTCCTAGGTCATCCTCTATCCTGTTCAGTCTCCTTACTGTCTTGCCCTTGTGTCCTCTACTGTGTGTCCAAATCGGTTACTTTCTATTCTGGCCAGGTGTATCTCGTAAGAGACCAAGCTAGTTTGCACATATTTTCTACAGAGCCTCCTTTCGAACCACCATTTATAATTTTTAATTTTGAGCGTTTTACTTTGCCAAAATTGTGAAAACAGTTTTTGGGGTTTGAATAGATCTGAAATTGTAAAAATAGTTTGCATTTGATCACAGCAGTCTTGTAGCTGTCTTAGACAGAGGGTACCAATGAATGAGCATTTATCGCAAGTTAAAGCAATCAATGTTTCACTGCCACATAACTTCATGTGTGTGCATGTGTAGTGTGGATGTAGTAGGGAAACATGTGAGTTTACATGCATATGAGTGTGTGTTTTTGTTTGTGTTTTTGCATGTGTGAGAGAGAGACAGACAGAAAGATAGAGAGAGAAAGACAGAGAGACACAGAGAGACACAGAGACAAAGAGACAGAAAAAAAAGAGAGCATATTCAATATTTTTCAATATTAAATTTGATTTAATTCTGTTATCTCCATAAATAAACAGAGGTAGGAAACCTTGAGGCTGTAGAAATATTATATATTAAATAAACAAACAGACAATGTATTAATCGGCACTCAACGGAAAAAAGTAGAAAGAATATGTCCTTTTATCCTTTTACTTCTTTCTATGAGTGCCGGTCACTAAATTGTCTGTTTGTTTATTTAATATATATATTTCTTCACAAAGAAAGTTGGCTACAGTGCACCCAGTGTTGTCTTTTTAAGTATTTGGTATTAAGGCCCTAATGTCTGTTATGGTGTCACTGTCATACTGCTCTCCCCCTCCAAAAAAAACACAATAAAGTATTTTTGTTGTTGTTGAGTGTGCACGCACACGAGCATGTGTGCATGCGTACATGTGTGTGTGTGGGTGTCTGGGGGAGGGGGGAGTAAAGAAGGCTGGCAAGGTGATTAAATTGTCTATTACATCCCAGTTGGTCTGTTGTATGTCCTAACATTACAGACCTTATATGCCAATGGCATGAAAGGAGTGCTTCATGTAGGTCTTCAGGCTAATTCAAACCCAAGACCTTTGGGCCAGGAGGAAAGCCACTGCACTATTGAGGCTCCATATCATGACCATCAATCAACTGGTCCTCTACAGAATGTTGCCCATGTCACCACACGCCTGAAAGTCTCTCTTTCTCTGGCCAAATCTCCGGCCCCGTAAGCTTTCCGAACAGATGCATCCTCAGTGCCTTGTATCCGCCTTTTGCGGATGTCTGCTGTTTAATGGATATTGTATTATCCATCATCATTCTTTTCAGGTCACTATGATGTTTATAATTGCCAAAATACCTCAGCTTTTGGGACAGGATTCTGTTTATGAGCCAATTCTTTTCGATGCTCAGATCAGATAGGATGTCAGAGTTTTTCTTCTTCTTGGTCCGTGGTATTCTAAGAATGTTTCTGTAGCATACCAGTTTAATAAAACAGTCTTCACACTGTTTAATATGTGAGTTATGAGTTAGATTATCTTCACAGCACTCTGGACACATCTATAGGCTTTCAGATTTCCCTCTCAACATATTAATCAGCATTGTGCTGTTAATAGTGCCAGTCCTATGTTGGTTAACAAGACTTTGTGTACATCCGCTGTGCTTCTCATGCTTGGCTGTGCCGATCTTTACTCCTAATTCTCATATTCTTAGCAGTGATGTGGACATGCTGCTTCCAAAATCCTTAGAACGTCCTATCTCTTTGAGAGCAATGACAATGTCTGTGTGATCCATAGGCCAGCCATCTTCAATTATTGCAGCCCCTGCCAGTTTATCATCAGCTCTTTCATTATCAACAACGCCTGCGTACGCTGGGACAAATATGAAGGTAACTGCACACACAGGAGATTTTGCAATGACTCAAACCACTGTCTGCATAACCAGCTTGCCTCAACCTACCGGATCATGCTCAAAGAATCAGAATCACTCAGTGATCACACACACTAGAATAGTCCTGTGATTCTAGCCACATGAAAGCTTGTGTCACCGTTTAATATGTATGAAACTGGTGGGCTCTGAATGGTTATGATAAGCACCAAAACTGGCATGAAGAGTTAGGCTGGGCATTGAATGCACAGACACAGCACTGCTCTGTTCTTATGATATTTTGCGTCTGCAGCACGCTGTGTTCCAAATGTACTACGGTAAATCAAGGCAAACCAAGAGAGGGGTCATGCTGCATGGGAAATACATGGTCCATAAAAAACACTGCCCAATCTCTGTGCTATGGAGAGGATGAACTACATTCATCGCTGGCCTTAACTGGTATCACTATGGACACTGGTTCCTATCCCTTCCTCTAACATAATGGCACAAAACAGTCTGACAAAATGGAAAGGTGCCAGCAACAAGGTCAAATATGACTACTATCTGGGTGCACTGTTTTAGGTGCGTTCTTTCTCCGTAAACTCCAGCTGAAAGTCCAGGTTGTTTCAACAACTTCTTGACTTCAGTCTTGTTCCAGATTTGAGTTTTGCATGCACATTAGTTTCAGGATCTGGCTTACTTGCATGCAGACTGCTGGTTCCTCACCTCTCAAGGCAGAAGCATTCTGACTGAAGGAAAATCCCTAATTAGTTTCCTTTATGACATGCTTCTTGGGGGGGAGTGGGTCTATTCTTTTCCTCTCAAAATGAGGCCCTGTAACCCACACAGGGAGTTTTATGTGTATGAATATGGTACATAATAACTAAAGTTTCAGTTAAAATTTGGACTTACTTGTAACAGTTTTGACAAAAACATCCTGCTCTTTGTTGGCCTCATTCTGATTGTCTCCAGCTAGTGTTCCCATATAAATACGGCCAAATGTTCCTTGAAAACAAAATTCGTCTTTGTTAACCCCTAGCATTAGAGATGTTATGGTAAATCTTAAGAAGTGCAAAAAAAAAAAAGATTATACGATACATCATACATACACAAAAAATGTGTGCAGGGCGGATTAATGTTCTAAAGTCATTTATGAAAAAAAAAATGAAATATACTCACAAATGGTAGAAAGCATGGCGATAATTTCACAATTTTTTTACAAATATACTTATATAATCTATGCAATATGAAAAAGCCTAAAGTTTTAAGTTAGAAAAACACAAACAACTATTATCTAAAGAAAAAAGTAAATAAATTTTGTAAAACAAAAAAAAAATTATAAACTGATACTTTTTAATTAGGGTAATAAACTTTATGGTTTGGTCTTCTGGAAATTGGGGGTGGGGGGGGAGTGGGAAGGGGGGGGGGGGTCAGCAGAATGGAACAAAATCAACCAGAAGCTAAAACCTACTACATGAGAACAGCAGGTTTCAAAGCAAGAGACCAACCAAGAAAGAGATGGGTGGAGGGAGTTAAAGAGCCCCTTCAGAAACAAAATATGATATTAACACAAGCGACGCAACTAGCAAAAGACAAAAAACTACATATAACATCTCTGTGGCACTTTACAGCATAAGCAGCAGAAGAAAAAGAACAAGAAGAATAAACTTTATGTGAATTTGATTTAAAACAATTTAAAAAAATTAGAAGTATTATTCTGTAAAACTACGTATCTGAGGCTTCAAAGAAATTTGTTGCATAAGATGTTAATGATTACCTTCCAGTAGTAAATCTCCGACTGTGATGAGTTTCTTGTCTATCAACATATCACTGACTATAGTGTTGACGTCTGTGGGCTTCAGGTCGATAGATGGTGAGACTCCACGTCGAAAACTGGAAGACATGCCTGCTTATCCAGATAAACAGAATGTGTTTTAGTTAATGGTCAAACTGTGACATTTCAGGAGACATGCAGAAACACACACAAAAATAGGACTGAAGAAGAAGGAGAAAGTAGGATGGAGAGGAGTACACATACAGAAAGAAAGGGAGACAGAACAAAAAGAAGTGAGTGAAAAGGAGTGACAGCGGAGTGAAAAATAAAGGATGACAGAGAGGCAGATAGAGAAAGATAGAAAAGAGAGCTAAACAGACAAACAAAAAGACGGATCTACATAAAAATAAAACAGACAAAGAGAAAAAAGTAGGAAAGGCTGAAGAAACTGTGATAAAGAGAGCAAGAAAGCTTTGTGGCTTTGTGTTTTAAATATATATCTATGCCTGCATGCACTCATTCATAAGCCATAAAAGCATACACACACATATATATGAGATAAATAAAATGCTATGGCTAAGAAAAGGACAATATGTATTGCTAAAACAATAGAGCTTATGTTGATAGGCAAATAGATATCTGATGTTATAAATTGAGACAAACTTTCTGCTTGTCATCAATACCAAATCAAAGCTAATCTGATACTGTTCAGGCCCTGTCTCCAGACAATTACAGCAGTAGGATAACACTCACAGAGACATCCGTGCCTCACATATCACTTTGCAATACAAATTCAAATACAAATTGTTTTTTCCATGTTTGAATGTTAAACATAAGAGTTCCTATTATGCCGGGAGGGAAATTAAGGGATTGTGTCGCTCACATACTGTTCGTTGCTTGGGACTGAAAGAGTTATAGACCCTTTTCCATGCTTCTGGGCCTAGTGGGCAAATAGTTCTAGAACTATATTTTATAGACCAATCGGCACTAGGTGGGTGATGTTATCAACATCACGCCTGACTAGTTTACTGCCCAGAGCTTTGCCTGGTACCCATTTAAGGTTTCGTTGACCAAGGGACCAAGGTCACTTTCGCAAAAAAGTCTTTTGGGTTTGAACCCAAGGCCTTCGTCTAAATGCTACACCATGGGGGGTCCCAGCGTAAAATTAGATGGCAATCAAAACTAAGACAACCCCAGGAGGTGACCAAAAAAAGTGTTAATCTTGGTCTAAAGAAGGTGAGATCCTAAGCATTCGATAATTGCATTTGGGCAGGTAAATGCTGAAGCAGACTTTGCTGAGTGTAGTAAACACCCATGGCAATGTAAAACTGAGAAAGAGAAAGAAATGAACAAGTACTCTGAAATGTTAAGATCCTCAGGCTTGTAAGAAATGAACAAGTAGTCATAAATTTGACAAGAGGAAGAAAGGAACAAGTAGTCATACATGGAAGAAGAGGAAGAAAGGAACAAGTAGTCATAAATGAAAGAAAAGGAAGAAATGAACAAGCAGTCATAATTAAAATATAAAGAGGAAGATATGAACAAGTAGTCCTAAATGTAAGAAGAGGAAGAAATGAACCAAGTAGACATAAATGGAAGAAGAGGAAGAAATGAACAAGTATTCATAAAGGGAAGAAGAGAAATAAATAAACAAGTAGTCATGAATGGAAGAAGAGGAAGAAATAAACAAGTATTCAAAAATGGAAGAAGAGGAAGAAATGAACATTTATGCTCAACCGCTTACCTGAACCGCTGGCATTGTTTGGTGTGTCAGGTCTCAGAAATGTCTGGTTCTGGCCCGTAAACACCTGGGAGCTGCCACTGTCACTGTATCCAAGGGAAAGAGACTGAAGTTAAACATGGGTCATCTGCACCTTACAAGAACCATTATACGGATTTCAATACATTAACATAATTAACTCCTTTGGTGCCATGCAACTCATCTTAGGTTCATTAGTTAGTCCACTGAGAGCGCATATTTCTGACTCTTGTGTTACTGCAGGTAGATGTTAGATTACTTTTTTAATCTAAACTGCTAGTTTAACAAAAACACAACCTGCGCAGGGCAGGCAATGGTGACAGCAATATCAATGTGACCGCCAGTCCTCCCGCTCAAAGACTTCCTCACCTACAGTGGTAAATACAGGCTGTAACAGGGAGTTCTTTTGGGTTTTTGTTGCTGTTGTTGCTGGCAGCGTTATTATCTTAACTTATTTGAACTCATACTTTGGTTACTTTAAATGATGATTTCTCCAGACACAAGGAGAGAAAATAATGATAGTTTGGTACCTAAGGAGTTAACAAATACATGAAGCACATGTCGGATGACAACATCAACAGATGGATTAACAGCAGCCTGAGAGAGAGTAGAACCAAGACAAGAGACAGAGAGTGTTGGAGATCCTTTACTGCTAACCATTACTGTGGAGACAGCACTCAAATTACTGGCTGATTTGAGTATTCCTGGTGTGGGTCCTGCGGAGGGGGGAGAGAGTACAGATCCCTTGCCCCTAACAAGTTTGTCGTAAAAGGGAACTACTTTGTAGTGTTTCCTTTGAAGTCCAAGTGCATGTGTCTGAGAGGTGAGTAACCAACAGTCTGCATTTAAATAAGCCAGATCTATAAAATGGATGTGCATGCAGAACTCAGCTTCTGGAACAAGACAAAAGCCCAGAAGTGGACGAGCAACCAGAACTTTCTCCTGCAGTTCACAGCTAAGAAGAAGGAGAAGACTTAGCCTAAAATGGGTAACAGGACATGTCCCAGAAAGTAAAGGCAGTGGCACAATATAAACCACATCACCAGCTGAGTGCTGATTGGTCTATAAAAAAAATGTTTAGTCTGGCATCATATGCTTGACGAGTCCCTGGCAGTAAAAGGGTCCTTGTACTTGGTTGCTTACTCAGTTACTCTTTGAGAAACATGAAGTGTTTATTTGTTTTTGTTTGCTGAATAAATAAAGGGGGGAACCCTTAAGGCTGTAGTTGGACACCTTTTTTTTAGGGGTGATAAGCTTGTCATGTATCTTGGTACACTTGTTTCCATAGCGAGGCGCACATGCTATTTGGAGGTGACAGGTTCTCGGCACGTTAACTATACATAGGTTTCAATTTGTATGTTGTCTAGTGTGTCCTTCTATCTTTTTTTTTCTTTTTATGAGTGTCAATCAATAAATACTTATTATATCTATAATGTTTCTACAGCATCAATTGTAAAGGTGGACAGTATACAGCTTTTGATTTCCCCTGGACTAGTGTGTCCCCTTCTTTACAGCTTTCAAGTTTTATGTTGTCTAGTGTGTCCTTCTTTTTTTTCTACTTTAATTTTATTTATATATATATATATATCATATTCTGTTTTCTAAGCTGACATCATATATGATACATTTGTTCACTGGTTTTTGGTCTGTTTGTGCTAAAGAAATATGACTTCATATTTTATTATGCAGCCAAGTGTATGCTGTGTGTTTGAAAGTAATACATCAACACTTTGATGTTGTGGTTATTGTGCCAGATTGGGTTTCTGCTGTGAAATCATCTGGGACTGAAAGAGTTAAGTATCTTAAAATTAGTCATTAAAAATATTGTTATGGCAGAGACTAGACAGTTTCAATTACAACTTAGCTCTCTTCTTCTTCTTCTTCTTCTTCACTGCCTTGTTTACTGCTTCAGGTTTCACGGATACGTAAGATTCAGCTTCTTGCTCTTCCGACCACTTGGACCACAAGTGCATTATGATGTAGAGTTTCTCTGACTTTATCTTTCTCACAAGGTATTCTCTCTCAAATATTTTAAATGCTGTCTTTATTTGTAATTTCTGTGGTGACGGTTTGTCTGATGGCCTCATTTCTGACGCTATCTCGTCTGATCACTCCTGCAGCTCTTCCCAGACATCTCCTTTTCATGGTTACTAATTTTATTTTGTGGTTTGTTGTGAGTTGAGTTGAGTCAAGAATTGACATCACAGCACTCAGGGCATTCCCATACATGCCTTGTCCTCATCTTCAGCACCCAGCGCAGAGTTCCAATACTGATGGTACCAGTTACACTCTAGTTAAAAATCCATCTTGCCTTTCCTGTGAGTGTAGTGAGCTGGCCAGACCCTCTGGTTACACCCAGGTGCCTCATTCTCTCCAGGCCTTATTAATCTTCTATCTCCACTGATTCCATTGCTTGTTCCTAAAGGACCTTGACCACATCTGCCTTTTCATGTATCAATTCACCCCCCAGTGGTGTGGATTCAGCCAATCTGTCTGCCTGTTCATTACCCACCACGCCCGCATAGCTTGGAGAAAATATCCAAAGTATGCTCACTACCCGTGACCTTTCCAGTGAAGCTTGCCACTCTGCTCGAAGCATCCCTGTCTTTACCTTTCTCAGCATGCTTTCAGAGTTTGTTACAATCATGAAATGTGTATGCATCTTGTTCTCTAGCTGCTAGCCCTCTGCGATGTATGAAAGGACTTCAAAATATAATCTTTAAAAGGGTGACAAAAAATTACAACAACCATGCCATTGTCTTAGTAACCTGCCAAAAGTGTTGTTAAGGATGTCAAGAGTGTTAAGCATATGACATCACAGTGCAGATAAACACAGTGATTTTTTAATGACACTTTCAAGATGGCCACCCAACTTTTGCCATGCACCAAAGAGGAGCAGCATTCTCTTATCAGTTCTGTGATCAAACATTATCATCATAAACCATTTCTGCTGTTTAGCATTGTGGGGAGGAATAATTTGCGATCCAGTACATGCTGACGGCCACTGGCTACTGACATGCCTTGAATCTAGTACAAGGTGTCGTTCCCACAATCTGTCTGATAGTATCATTAATCACTTGATCTCAGATGATAAGGCTGGTGGTTTTTCTCAGGCATCTCATCTCGCAGGTGGTTTTTGTGATCAGTGAAGGGGTGAAACACACACACACACATATAAATATACTACTATACACTGTTATAAAATTATTATATACTATATTATATAATGGCACAACATGATGATGGTAATGGTGAACCAAGCAGACATGCAAGGAATACACAACACTCACTATCCATTGATCTTTTTGCTGTAGCGGTCTGTCCTCCTCTGAGAATTGAGATAGTACACAACCACACCCAGCGCAATGAGAATTATGACTGCACAGGTGCACGCCACAGCTGCATAAAATATCTGGGTTGATGTGGTCAGATCATCTTTCTCCTCAGAATCTGTAAAAGCCAACACATGTTTAGCACTGCTCATCGTGCAGACAATGAGTTCAGAGTAGATAATGATGAAGGACTAAAAATGTCTAAGAAGTAAGTCTCGAATGTAGATGTTCATAAGATGAGATGACATCTCTTAGGTGTGGATGAAGGAATGAGATGACATCCCTAGAGTGTAGATGATGAAATGAGATGACATCCCTAGAATGCAGATGATGGAATGAGATGACATCCCTAGAGTGTAGATAATGGAATGAGATGACATCCCTAGAGTGTAGATAATGGAATAAGAATTGTGTGACATTTCTGGACTTTAGTCTTGTTCCAGAACTTCAGTTTGTGTGCACATGTGTTCACAGATCCAGCTTATTTCTTCCGTCCGTCCGTCTGTCTGTTTGTCCTTCCGTCCATCCATCTGTCCCATCTGTCTGTCTGTCTGTCTGTCTGTCTGTCTGTCTGTCTGTCTGTCTGTCTGTCTGTCTGTCTGTCTGTCTGTCTGTCTGTCTGTCTGTCTGTCTGTCTGTCTGTCTGTCTGTCTGTCTGTCTGTCTGTCTGTCTGTCTCTTCCAAAATGGGAGGATGTAATGAAATGATAATTCTATATTGTAGATGCTAGAACAAATTTACGAGAGGTCATCAAATGAAAGAAAACAAAATGAAATTAACAAACACTAGAAAACAAACCTAGAGTGGAGTTGATGAATTTAAACTGGTACTGGTTGATGAGGTCCTTGTCTCTGGACACCCACATGGAGTTCTCATCCTTGTCTCTTGGCATCCACACTGAGTTTTCTATCAATCAGAGAAAAAAACATATAAGGCTGAAACAGTGCCGCCAATGAAGGGGGAAGTAAACTTGATGATTGAATGACTTAGAATTTTCACTTTCATATATGAAGTGATAACATTAGGAACAGCCTCACAGAAATGAACATCAATCTCAATAGTGCTCTTGACAGAGCTCAATAACGAACGTTACAGCTCCCCCCGACACTTCACTGAGGTACAAGATGGTACAGGAGAAGAAAAAGTATTTTCACTTCTGCTTACACAACAGTGCCTCTGTAAATGTCCGCTTTCAAAGAAGTCCAACTTGCTATTTGTCTTTTTAAGACATGAGCATTTTTGCTTGGTATGCAACCTTTGTTTAGCACCCATGTGTTAGAACTTTTGAGCCTCAACCAGGTGCCAGTAGGGAAAAGAGACAGAGACAAAGAAATCTGGAAAACACCAGAATTTCGGATTCCTTAAGTTTTATTGGACATGGACTCTGCTTCTTCCTTCTCAATACCATCCTAGTAGACACATGACTCTTGTCAGCAAGGTAAATCGAGGTTAAATTCGGGTGCTGTTCACGGTAACCGTGACGTTGACCTTTCATTCATAGCTTGTTGGACTCTTCTGGGTCACAGGGGTGTGAGTGAGTCTATTCCGAGACATCTGTGTCAAGCGAGCCACAACCAGCTCCAGGATAAATAGAGTCGGCAGAGCTGGCAAACTGCGACTTAATGCGTTGTTCACAGAACGGCGACACAATGAACAGAGACACGCCGCAACTTCGGACATCATCCATCGGTGGTGTCCCCAAAATAACCTAGAATTAGCTCACACCCCTATGCCCC